TTTCTTTTCTCCCGATTTCACCCATTTTGTTAGTTCCTCAAGCATCTTTATTATATCGGGGTTGGTCCCGAGTTTTGCTTTACCCGGCATTTCTGTGGCCGGTTCATTTCTGCGGGCGTTTTCCCGGGTCGATTCGGGCTCAACTCTGCTGGGGGCGCAACTTTGGTTCTACAACTAGGCTATCGCTGCCTGTTGAGCCTGTAACATTCCCAAGATCATGCGTAAGTTGATCCCATCACCTTCGCCATCGTGTGTACTCCGGGCTATCGACCAGGCTCCCTCGCGAATACTGTTTTTGGGGTTAGTAGGCAGGTTTGCTTCGATAGCCACGTATGAGTTAGCATCGATCGGATCAACGACTGGGACTCCGTTGGGGTCAACAGGGGATACCTCGTTACTGGGTACCACGTTGTTGTTTTCGCCATGGTGGCCGGACTCAGCATCCACGTTCAAATGGGCAGATTGGGAGTTCGACATTTTTAATTTTGACCTGAAATTAAATGCTCAAAGAACAAGCGTAAAATAGAGTGTGTTATGGAAATTTGTATCAAATTGACACTATTATCCTTAGTCTCACGGTGGACGCCAAACTGTTTAAAATAAAAAAAAATAGATAACACTTAAATTTATAAGTGGTTTTAAGGATGTGTGGGTTAATTCAATACAAACGATAAATTGCGTTAGATTAAACAGATAAAAGACGCAATAAATTATCAAACCAATCAAGAGGAGTGATCCCCGGACTTAGTTATAACTTAATGAAATGTCTGCCTTCGATCCCGGGCTCACGTTACTGATGGATTGATGAACAAAAGTAAGTACTTTGAATAACAGAGAAAATAAGAGTATATTGCCTTGATATGTATGTTACAATGTCTAATGAATAATTAGACCCCCCTATTTATATAGTAGGAGAGTTTTACCCTAAGTACAATTCAATAAAAGGTAAAAATTTTCTATTTGATTAATCACCGATTTTCTGCCGATACGTGCCGAGATTCACACCGTGACATCCGACTGGTCACGGATATTACGGCCTTTGTTGGTCATGCTTGATTATTTGATAATGCTCTCCGAGGCCTTTGGGATTCGAACCGAACCTGGGGTCGTGGCCCCGATACTCCCGAGGGCAGGGTTTTGCCCGGACCCCGGCTCGAGGGGCTCCTTCCCTCGATTCCGATTCCTTACCATCACGTCTTTTGCTTCGTTTACTTCATCGGAAATCGAGGGCTCGATTTCACCCGTATACAAATTTAACTAAAATAGATACTTTAATTAAATACCAAGTCTCAAAACGATCCATTGTTAATGACTGTTATTTTCGTTGTACATGCCTTTTACTTTCTTTCCTTGGAAAATTGGGGATAAGAAATATATCTATATTATATTAAAATCACGAAGGCCCTTAGCGAAATGTCGTTCGTCTTTTTTACCCTTTAAAAATAGAGTTTACATTGGATAAAATAGTAATTTAGTTATTTTTCTAATACGTAGGAATGCTCATTTAATTATTTTCCTTATATGTAGGAATACTTATTAAATTATTTTCCTAATATTAGGGACTACAAAATCAACTAAATTTTATATATTACATTCTTCCTTATGTGGATTACATAGAAAATTTTAATATTTAGAACTTCAAAAATATTAATATTTTATTCTATATAAATTTTTACACATAAATTATATATAAATGGCAAGAAAAGGAAAGAATTAAAAATGCTAACCAAATAAGACGTAACCACTTGGTATTTAGAAGTTTATCCCTTTGAACAGATGCCAAGAATTCAATCAAAAAAGAAAGAGGATGTACGACGTTCTTGGAAGATGATGGAGTAACTTTTTTTTATGTTTTGATTTAGGTGAAACTCTTTTATATACTAAAATACTTTAAAATATACAAAATTATTTCTCACTCATTTTATTTTCTTACAATTTGACAAAAGAATTTTTATTCGATAAAATATAATTATAATCGATTATTTAAAATTTGGTATGAGCTAATATTAAGATTTAAATCAATAAAATATAATTATCTTTTATTGCTGAAAATAAATAATTAAGTATTTGGAATATCTAATAAGAAAAAACATTAATTTTATTATTTTTTAAATTCATCATACAAGTAAAACTATCTTCAGATTGACAAAAATCTTGGCTTAAATAGATATATTTCAGTCAAAAAGACCACCGATGATGAAATAAATTAGAAAATAAACTCGAATCAATTATAATATAGTATTAAAAGTTAACTTGGTTAAAATTCAAAATAGAAGTAATAAGAATGAAATAATAAGTATTCAAATAAATTGACATTTATTATTATATTTTATTTTTCATCTATTCCAATAAATGACCCTCTAAAGTTTTTTTTATACTTAATAAGTTATTGGTTGTAAAATACACATTCAGTATTAGTCAGTTTTAGAGCTTCCGTCACTACTTAATTATTCATTTTTTCCCTATAAACTATATGACCTAGCCGGGCATTCCAATAGTTCTAAAAGAAAGATATAATTTTCTAATTAGTGTTAATTTGATGATTGTTCGAAGAATTGTAATAAAAATATATAACGATTTAGATCATGTTAGATTTAATATTATGTCACAAAAATGACTACAATATTTGTAAGTTTACCCTAAAGGATATGTCTTTCAAATTAATATAAAATATATGTGCTCAATTGTTTTACGTGTGAACCAGTTTCTTTTAAAAACTATATGACGACCCTCTTATTTCAAATCTCTAAAAAAAATATAATTATTTTTACTGATGGCCTTTTGAAGAATCATAATAAAAATATATAATAAATATCGAAATTTAATTACCAAAAATAGATATATCAATTGTTTTAGATTCAATATCATGTTACAGGAATTACTACAATTTTCGTAAGGTTTTTTCAAAAGATTTGACCTTCAAATTAAGAAGAAATACGTGTTCTCCAATCGAAATGTGTATCGATCATTTTACCTTTTAAATTTTTTTTTTATAATTGTTATAAAACTAATTATTTTCAAATATAACGACAAATGGAGTTAATCAATATTAGAATTATTTAAATACTAATTCCACTTGAATAATGATACGCCGTATACTCTTTCAAATATAATTCTGAGTCATTCTCTGATGTATTTTACTAGCTTACTTTCGTATTCTTTTTGAATCTCTTTTCTCATTTTCGGGGCACTTTGATTTTGTGTTCATCTGAATTCATGGATTATTAGTTGTTTACTATATGTGTGAAGTTCTATCCACTATTTATGTTTTCAATGACTATGTGTACTACTGAAACTGAAAATGAAGCATGCAAACTTTATTTATTAAAAGTGGCATAAATTTTAAGTTGAATTATTAACTGATGATTGAGGATTTCTATGAGACGTTGTTTTCTTAATTGAGTTAATTATATGTACAATGTCAATATTAATGACTATTGTCAGGAACTTATACTTTTATTTCATAACTCAAGCACTCATTGAGATAGGATACACGCGCGATGCGCATACCCTGCTTTTTTTTTATTATATTGAACGTAAAATTCTTATTGGATAAAAATTATAATTACAATTAAATATTTAAAACTTGGGATGAGCTATTATTAAGATTTGAATCAACAAAAAAAAATCTCTTTAATGTTAAGAGCAATCTTAATTAACCAAAAAAGTCTTTGATTTAACTAATTTGCGAAAAATCCAAGTCATCCTTTTCAAAATTTATAATATAGTAGTAAGAGTCAAACTGTTAAAAATGCATACATTAAAAACAATAAGAATTAAACATTAGAAGAAAAAATATATTCTAAGTTAGCTGCCATTAATTAATTTTCTTTTTGCTATTCGTTCAAATAAATGACAACTTCCTATACTTTTCTCTGTACAAAGTTACTTATTTTAAAATATTAACTTAGTGTAGACATTTTAAAATTTAGCATTTAATAACTTGATTTACATGTTCTTTTTTTTTTTAATAAAGGCGCCTGGGGGCGCTGTATAATAAGTGATGTCAACTGGAAGAAAATATACTTTGTTCTCTTTATCTACTAAATATTATGACTTACATAAAAAAAAAGTCGTTTATTTGTCGTATTTACGGTTAATGACGCCATAAATTTTTTTTTCTCACCAAATAGTGTTTAGTCTGAATTTTTAATTAAGACTAGCAAATCAAATATAGTAGTTTCACATTAAGTACCCCATTTTCTCCTTTAATAACGCCAAAGTTGTATCAGAAAAAATATTATTGGAATATGCTTGAAAGTTGTTTTCCCTAGTCCAGTAATTTCGTAAGTAAATAAGAAGTTTTAATAGAAATAAATACAAGAGAATTTCGTTGTTACTTGAATATTTAACATTTTGTAATATTTGTAGCCGGTACAAGCTAGTCTCACTAATCCTAATTCGCCCCACATATGACCCATCAAATGAGAAGTGCTTCCTATAAAAGTTTGTCAAATTATCCTTTTTAATTAATATTTTCTTAAAAAACATAAAAAAAAACTAACATGACAAGAAAATATGGAACAAAGAAGCTATAGTTTTTGGTATTAGATAACTGTGAGAATTATAGCATATATAATATCATAAAACTCATACTTTATTTTAAAATTAAGGTATTTATTATGATAATTAAATGCGTCTAAAAAAATCACAATAGTTACATGAAGTTTGATAAAGTTGATTTCACCAACAAAGATTATGGTGGAGTGGTAAGTACTCCTTCATCCTTAACCAGAGTCTCGAGTTTGAGCCCTAGGTTTGGAGTCGTTTTTGTTAGGAGCACTTTACCCCAATGTGAAACAAAAAAAGATAAAGTTGATTTCAACTAATTTGGCATTGAGGAATAGTTGATTGATCTTTTATGTTTACAGGAATTACTTATGAAAAATGATCATTAAATATTTTGTATTTACCAAAGAGAAACTGCGTATATTTGATCCGAAACAGAGAGTTCGTCAATAAAAAAACGTAAGGAATTGTGTAATTTTTCTCTAAATATAACACATTTCATTAAATATTTGGAACCTTCCTGCTGTCCAATAACTAACACGTGCAAGAAAAGAACTAAGTACCACTTTCACAATTATGTTTTTATTAATCTTTTTGCCAGTTTTTTCATATAATACATTCCTTTCCCTAGAAATAACAGAAAATGATATTTTTTACATGGAGAGAGATGAAAGAATTAAGGAGATGATCAGCCTCGATAGTTGACTAACATGGACAAAGGCACTAAACAGAGTCCCTTTTTCTTCAGGTCCTTATAGCTATTGTTTTTTCCATCAAAACACACACTATTTCTTTCTACAGTTTGCATTTCTTCATCTTGCGTAGAACCACTTTCAATATTTCCCTAAACAATAAACAAAGACCAAAAACAAATTTTCAGTTTCATTTTGCTCATAAAAAAAGATTCATGCTCATTATTTAATAATTAGCATGGAGAGGAGAACGTAACGTTACCAGGAAATTTCCATCTGCTCTTCGGTAATTGATGTCCATCTGCTTAAAACTACTTACCTATTAACATCAAGCAAGATAAATATTATGGAAGCTCAACAACAACAATAAAAAACTCAGCCTAATCCCACAAATGGGGTCTTGGGAGGGTAGTATACATGTACACAACTTTACCCCTACCTTCAAAAAATAGAGATGACGTTTCCGATAGGCCCTCGGCTCAAGCAATATTTTGTGTACTCTACTTAAGTTTTAGTTGGAAAAGGTATCTGGTACCAATACCCATGGTTGATGCGATATAATAGTCAATATGCGTGCAAGTTGATGCGAATATTACTGATATAAGAAAAAATGATTTAAAGAAAGTGTGATGATTACCTTAGGGCTGTTGACAGGCGAGCTAGCAGTGTCTTCTAAATCAGGATCAGAGATTTTCTTGTTCCTTGGTTTCTTCAAATTCAATCTCTTAAGAAAAGGTGAGCCACCCATAGGAGAATTATATGAATTCAAGACTTGATTATTGGTACTGTTACAATTCTTCCAATTAACAGCATGAGAAGCAGCATCAGACAACAAAGAAGGGCTACCAAAACTATCATTCTCAGAACAAGAGCTATTTTCCCTGTTATTATTTTCCATTGAAAAGTCCTCCAAATAAGTTGTCCATCCACTCTCTTCTTGTACATATGAACCATCCATTATTTCCTAGCTAGTGAATATAGAGGAACCAAAGTTAATTTTCTCTTAAGTGCAATTTGGAGAATTTGATGACTTGCAGGATAAGGGAAGATAGCTTATTACGGAGTATAATTTATAAATAATTGAAAACATGTACAGGGAAGAAAAGGGGACTCATATGTGGAATCTTGGTGTGGGACCAGGTGGGGGAAGTTAAGAAAGTATTATCAACAGTTTCAATTATAGTAATAAAAATAATTACTGTATACCCAATACATTCCCGCGGTGTGGGTAATGTGTACATAGACCTCGTATACCTCGTGGAGGTAGATACTGTTTCCGATAGACACTCGACTCATAAAAGCAAATCTCTTCAATAAGGTTTAATTTGAAATAGTAGGTTAATTATTATTTTTATCATGTGGTTATAAGTTAATATTTATCATAAAAATATACCTATAATTACCTTACAGAAGATTAATTATACATATTTCTTTAATATTATCATCATTATATAAAACTTAAACTCAAAACACAAAAATAAAAGCGGGAAAAGAGAACGTGCAGAAAGGAAATTAAATTTCAAGGAAGATAGAGGATAATAGTTGACCTTGTTAGTTCAAGTGGTATTTCCTACTAAATTAATTGAAGGAAAAGCCCTTTTTTCTTTGGTCACCCACTTTGTCTCAACAGAAAGGTATTAATGCCGTTGTGACTTTTTGTTCTTCAATTACTATTATATTCATATTTCTTGAACTTTTTTTGCAGTTGGTGAACGCATTAAATAAATTACTTTGGGTACAGGTGCATGAACTAATTCAAATGTGCTTTAGAGGTGTCAGTACTGCAATTATTCTTCATTTGAGCTCACAAAATTGGCAGTTTTGGCCAATCATATATGTGTATTTTCTTAATTCGTTTAGGATACTTTAATTTAAGACTAGAATAACTTAGCCAAGTGGAATATCTATTAGCTTACGGTGGATGGTTATTGAAAAGGGAAGTCAGGTAGTGCCGGTGGAGGTGGGATTTTGAGGGATCACCTGGGGCATATGATCTATCTTGGCTGCACCACTAATAACTCAGTTGAGGTGTAAGCTATTAAAATTGGACTGAAATGGTGTATTGATCATGATTTCAATAAATTAATATTGGAATCTGACTCTCTTCTTGTGATCAAAATGATCAAAAAGGAAATTTTCCCTTCTTGGCAGACCAAAGAGGACATCAATGATATTCACTCCACGCTATCTGAAGGTCACTTCCAGTTTAATCACTCTTTCAGAGAAGGCAATATCCCTGCAGATTTCTTAACACGAAAAAAAGACTTCTTTCTTCCGGTGGCGAAGTCGCATGGTCACAAGGGTGGTTAACTGACCATCCTTCGTCGAAAAATTGCACTGTGTAAATAGGTAAAATATTACGTTTTAGAGCTATATAACACATATTAAACACCATTTGTCGGGAATTTTTTTTCATTTCTTTCAAATTTAAATACCCTTGAAAAATTTCCTAGTTTCGCCACTGCTTTCTTCACTGAGGCTATAAACTTACTAGGAAAGATTATAGCCGCAATGAAGAATGCTGAGAAGAGTCGAACAAACTTCAGAATCAAGATGAGAAAAAGCACGTTCATTTTTTATCTTGGCTGAATAATTCACTGGTTGCACTAAGTCCAGTACTTAGTCTTTATTTTTGGGCGCTCAATTTGTACTAGGAGAAACCCTCATCTTTCTGCTTTTATTTTTGGGATGATTCAAATTGTACGAATGTGTAACGATCCGATCGGTTGTTTTGAGTTCTACCGTGTCATTCAGCGGTTTGAGGCCTTGAGTAGTTTCACTTTAGGTATTATGACTTGCACGTATGGTCAGAATTGAATTTCGGGAAGTTCGGAGTTATTCGGAGGAAAAATTCTCATTTCAGAAGTTTAAGTTGGAAGAATTGACTAAGGTTTAACTTTTGAGTAAACAACCTCGGAATCGGGGTTTGAAAGTTACAATAGGTTCGTATAATAATTTTGGAGTTGAGCGTATGTCCGGATCGGGGTTTGAAATTTACAATAGGTTCGTATAATGATTTTGGAGTTGAGCGTATGTCCGGATCGGGGTTTGGATGACCTGGAGCGTTTCAACGCTTATTATGAAAAGTTGACATTTTGGAAGAGTTTCATAAATTTGGGTTGAAGTGTATTTTAATGTTATCGATGTACGTTTGGGATTCCGAGTATGGAAATAGTATCATATGGTAATTATGGTCGTAGGAACACGTCCGGATGTGGATTTGTAGGTCCGTAGGTTATTTCGGTGTCATTTGGTGAAAGTTGGAAATTTGAAGGGTTTTGGGAAGTTTGACCGGGAGTGGACCTTTTGATATCGGGTTCGAATTCCGATTTCGAAAGTTGGAGTAGGCCCGTAATGTCAAATGTGACTTATGTGCAAAACCCGAGGTCAATCGGACGTGATTTGATAGGTTTCGGCATCGGATGTGGAAGTTAGAAGTTCAATAGTTCATTAGGCTTGCATCGATGCGCAATTCGTAGTTTTGATAATATTTGGTATGATTTGAGGCCTCGAGCAGGTCTGTGTTATGTAATGGGACGGGTTGGTATGATTAGACGGGGTCCTGGGGGCCTTGGGTGTGTTTCGAGGTGGTTTCGGACCAAATTTGGATGGAAAGTTGTTGCTGGTTTGTTGGTGCTGGTGTTGTCTTTCGCGAACGCGGGAGAAGTGACGCGTTCACGAAGAAGGATTTCTGGGCTAGTGGATTTTGCATTACGTGAACGCGAATATGGGCTTGCGAACGTGTAGGTGGACGTGGCAATGCTTCACGAACGCGGAGGCCCAACCGCGAACGCGAAGAGGAGATGAGGGAAACAGGGCAGGAGGCCTTTGGCCTACGCGAACGCGACTGGGGAATCACGAACGCGGAGGGTGAGGGGAAGTGGCTATCGCGAAAGCGGGAAGGCCACCGCGAACACGAAGAATAGATTTTTGGTCGAGGGTTGTTTGGCCTTCGCGATCGCGAGGGTCATTCCACGATCGCGAAGAGGAAGGAACTAGGCAGTGGGTTATATTTCGGGGACTTATCCCATTTCTCTCACAGTTTCATTTGGTTGGGCGATTTTTGGAGAGCTTCAAGGGGAGATTTTCATCAATGCAACACAAGGTAAGTGGTTCCCACATATTGCAAGTTAAATATTTGGATTATATATAGATTTTAATATGGAAATTCATGGAAAATTAGTGAAAATTTGAGATTTTGGTAGAAAATCTAGAAATTGGTATTTTTGGATTTTGACCACGAATTTGGGAATGGAATTGGGAATAAATTATATATTTGAGTTAGTAATGTTATGGATAATATTTATCTTCGAAATTTTTTGGAATCCGGGCACGTGGTCCCGATGGTTGATTTTTATCGAATTTTCAAGCGAAGTTGTGAATTTGTTTAAATTAATTGATTATGGGTATTAAAGTATATTTTGATTCGTTTGCACCTTATTTGACTTGTTTTGGATCGACGGGCATCAGTTTGAGGTGTTAGAAAGGCTTTGGAGCCAATTATGGAACTTTAGAGCGAGGTAAGTCTCCTGTTTAACTCTGTGAGGGGAAAACTACCCCTATGTGATGTAATTGTTATGTGTTACTTATTACGAGGGCTACGTATGTACAAGGTGACGAGAGTCCGTACGTGACTATATTCATGCTATTGTCCAAGTAGGTTTAGGTTCACACTATGTTATAATTGTACTATAAGGGTTATTTTTGCTAGTTTAATTCCTTTATTTCACATTAGAATTTTTATTTCAAAATACTAAAATGAGTAATTAGGTTAATCATTCACAGTTGGCTCACGGCCTTTAGTGGATTTTAGGCCGTGACAACTTGATACAAGAGTGTTAGGTTCACTTAGGTCTCACAAGTCATGAGCAAGTCTAGTAGAGTCTTGCGGATCGGTACGGATACATATGTACTTATATTCGAGAGGCTACCGAGCTGTTAGGAGTACTTTCCTTCTTGATTCCTTGTCGTGCGATTTGATTGTTGTGAGGCTTATGCCTTTATTTCCTTCCTACTCATTCTTATACGAAGTTCAGCATCGTTCGTGTCAATTGGGCATCAGGGAGTTGCAGTGGTACTACAGACGTGGAGCAGGATGTTCCTCCCTGCGCATTCGAGCAAGTTAGTATCGTCTTCTTGCGGAATGATGTTCTATCATTTCAGCTCAGTAGCTGTATTTTTGATGGTTTCGAGGCTACGTGCAGATTGATATGATGTTTAGACGTGTTATCACATAGTGTTGGTGCAATGGTAGGGTGCTTGTCTATGTGTCGAGGTAGTGAATGATTTTAAAGGAGGAATTCTCGGTACATGATTTAGGGGTTCAGGATTTAAATCCAGTAGAGGAAAGACAATCGTTCTTTGAATGCTCAGGCTTTAGTTGATGGAGTAGCGAGACTTGGTATTCCCACGTATGGTGGAATTCTCATTTTGATGTGGTGTCGTCGTTCTTGTTGGAACACATTAAGGTTCGCCGGTGTTATGGTCTTTTTTTATTCTTGGCCTTCGGGGCAGGGTGTTGTGAAATGGTGCCTGAGAAGCGGTTGTCAGAGATTGTAGTGTGTAGAGGTTCAGAATTGAATTGGTATTTATAATATTGATGGGTCGAGAAAGATGATGTTCTAGGAGGTTTAGAGTTGGTAGCAACTCATTTGTTCAGGTGCATGTATGGATTGATTTGGGCAAATATTCGGGCAGCGAAGTATGAGGAAGGGCATGGCGGGAGGTGTCTCGCGGTGGTTGAATTACTAGCATGTCAAGTATGAAAAGCGAAAGTCGAGAAGTTGCTTAAAGGAGAGGGTTTAACCAGAGTGAGAGAGTAGCATATGTGTTCGGTGGTAGGATAGCCACACGCCTTGAGGAAAGTTTAGTGCAATGTGGGAATTCATGGTGGACAGTGACTAGGTCCACGGATTTTATTTGGATGCAACATGACTTCGAGTTTGGAATGTATTGTTGTACTTTCAGTCGATGTCAGTGGGGAAGGAGGAATCTCGGTGGGTTCCAGTGTTATGCAATTGTAGCTTCAAGCTAAGTGGGGGAGCCCC